TAGGCGGAAACGCTTGTGCAAGAGCAGCTCGACGAGGCCAAGTTCTTCGTCAAGAACGTGATTGCTTTGCGAGATTTCAAGACCCAGCGGGCTGCCCGAATCATCCAGGGCGGCTTTCGTCACCGGGCTGAGGTCACCAGACGGTCGGCTGCCATGATTGTCCGCGCCACCCGCCGGTGGCTCATGAGGGGTAGCCTGCGTCGTGCGCGCATCAGGCGCGGCATTCGGCGGTAAGGGGACAGCAGGCACTAGTCTTGTAAACTATTGCAGGGGGAATATCGCTGAAAGCGGCTCGGGGGTAGAAATACAGGCGGGTCATCATGCACCGCTATGAGTTCAATGCTATCTATGCCAGACTCTTCTCCGTGGAAAATCTGTATTGGTAATATTTGTGTAAGAAACAACAGAAGCTGACCTCTACAGCCCCCGGCCCATGTACCCGGAGACAAAGATATTGATTTGGTTGAACCCTTGTTCGGTGTTTCAGAGTTCCTTGTTATTGCCCCCTTGAGCCCCTTTTCTCTTGAAGCGTTTTCGCCCTGCGAAGGGTTGATAAGTTCGCGTTTGAATAATCCTGACTGGGAATGCTCTTCACTGCCACGTCGTTTTGTTTTTCATTCTGTTTTTTCGGCGGTTTCGTACAATACCATCGCCGAGAATGTTTCCTTTCAGGGGACGGCGAGATACCCACCGGGCGTATACAGGTTTTCGAGAAGAGAATCTCGCCAAGTATCTGCAAGCACCCGTTTGGCTTGCCTCCTGTATCAACCACCGCGCGCCTTTCCCTCCCGATCCCATTCGTACTCCCTCATCTGAATTCAAGCCCTGAACGAGACTAAACAGCTGTATCTTGCTTATGTTGTTCCAAGTCTGGACTCCTGAACCTCAACCAACTCCCTCCTTCTCCGTGCCACACCCCAAACCCACCGTTATCCAATTAACAATCGTATTCTTATCCCCGTACCCCGACCCGTCTCTCCCCGCACCCGAACCCCCGCAGGTATCGCGGGAGTCTGTCGCGACGAAACCTAGGGCTAAAAGAGACCAGCCCTTTCGCCCTCACGGTGGCGAGGGAGTTCCCTAGAGAGGGGCGTTGGTGGGACTCCGGCCTTCCCGTGGCGCCGCGGCCGAAGTGGGGTACCTTGCGGGTGGAGAACGAGGAGGCGCGGTCGCGGCACCGAGCGCTCAGCCTCGCAGATCTGATCAGAACCGGGCAGCAGAAAAGCGATGACGATGGCGGTGGTGGGCGTGCGGGCAACGCGCGTGCAAGTATGGCTCCTGCGGAGGGCGGTGGCGGCGTTGGTGGGACATCTCCGACGTGGGAAGCGAAGGGGTGGGGGTCCGGCAGCAGCAGCAAGGGTAACGCGATCGGGATCGAAGCTACCGGCGGTGGTAGGAGGAACAGAAATAGTAATTCTATGAGGACAGACGCAGGGGGCACGGCGGCGACGATAGGCATGGGTTTCAGCAAGGGGGCTTCTGTCCGGAGAGCGGCGTCGATGGTAGACCCGAGGGAGGCCGAGAAGGCCGCCCTCATGGACGAGATCGAGAGGAGACACGCCAGGAGGACTGCCGTCGCTCCGCCCTTCAACACGCTTAGCATTGTGGAGAAGCACCAGCAAAGGGAGAGGGAGTTTCAGGAGCAGAGGGAGAAACGGAGGGCCGCCGCGGAGAGGGAGACTCGCAGAAAAGTAAGCCTATTGATGGATTCAGAGTAAACAATAGATGAGAATATAGGAACGGAGAAAGTACGGGGGTCGCGACGGGGAGTTCCAAATAGCGGTCACGGCTGTGTGTCGATAGGTAGTGCTGGCTCGCCCGCCGGGTTTCATGAGCGCTTACAAGGATATGCGGGCGCTCGTGAAACTTGACGCGTTCTGCGTTACTCCCCCTCCCGCGCCCAACAGCCTTTTGAAAGGCGCCGGAACTCCTGTAGCCGTGCGTTGCGTGAGCCCGGCCCCATGCCTGAACCCCTTTCCCTCTTCTGCCAGAGCGTATTCGTGAGAGCGTGCACGATCGTCTGGGACAGGCACATGACCTGAGGCGCGAACATGGCTCCCCCCTCTAGGGGGAGGACATCCACCTACCTTAGATTGACAAAACGTGTTGAGATACACTGGCCCTCCGACCGTCATATACGGGGATTCCACGTGCCGAAGCAAGATGTTAGCTGGCAAGGTCATATACGGGGTTAGACTCCACGTGCCGAAGCAACATGTTAGCAGGCAAAGCTTGGTGTGCTTCCTGACCACCGTCATGCCAATAATATCCTTGAGATGCACAGCTAGCCACCCTCTCAGCTACTCTGGTGCCTTGTATTCGGAGAGAGCTAACGAGCACGGAGAGGCCACAGAAAAAACGCTTCTACACCCCCGCTCTTCCTCTGAAAGCGAGAAAATGAATCAGGGCTTTCCCTCCCCCCGCTCCTCGCGCTCCTGCACGCCGCCGGTGAAACTTGTTTCGTGGTATTGAACATCCTTGAACGTGAACGTTCTTGCCATAGGGCAAGGATGCAATCACTTCGCCTTCGTTGTCGACGCGTTCGCGTCCCGCATGATCCACCAAGTTGCACCCAGCCATCTCCCGAAAAGGTCGAAAACGTACATGCCCCGCACCCATCTTACCCCCGCAATATTGCAACAACCGAACGATCCCCCCTCTCTCCTTCCATGCTGTGTTCGAGGTAGAAGCATTACTACACCACGGGAGATTGCTATTCGGATAATAGAGTATTTCACCCACCCTCCCTGGGATAACCACTACCTCTCTCATGCTCCCCCTCTCCGTCGTACGTCCCGCAGGAAAAGCAGAGGGCCCGGGAGATCGCGGAGGCGGCACGTCGGAAAGCGCTGGAGGCGGAGCTTCTCGCCGAGATGGAGAAAGAGAAGGCCAGGAAACGCCTGGAAAAGATCCGGGAGTACAAGGAGAAGAAGGTGACAGTCACTACCGTATGTGACACAAGATACCACACCCCCAGGACCAATTTTCAAAGCTCGAATACTCCACGACAAAGAAAGAGGATGCATAGATGAAACTGAACTTTTTTTTCGGAAAGCTCTCGACAAGACGACTTCAACACCGCTGTTTTACGTTGTGCCCCCTCTTTCTGCTGTGAAATCGAGCTTTGAATATCGGTCCAATTGGTGTATTTTCGTACGTCATGTCACCTACGGTACACATTACTGTGTGAAAGAACCCGCGCGCACAAAAGAGTCACTCGCTTCCTTGCGCTCGTATCTTGTCTGTGGGGTTTCCCAATATCGGCATAATAGGTTTTTAGTATAGGGTTCTTGACTCAGCACCTGTTCTAATGGTCGAGAGTTTTTTACGTTGTTTGGTTGAAGGCTCAACGTCATGACTGCCAACTTGTTTGGTGGCACGTAGTGCTGTTTGCAAGGTAGGTGAGAAATGTGAACATAATCATAAACATACCGCAGCGTGCAGCAGCAACAGAGGCAGAGCAAGAGTGAAACTCGCAAGCAGAAGTCCTGATTCACTCCTAATATAGGTAGACAACAACATGAAATGAACCAAATATTGTGAACGATTCTGGAACAACCATCAGTAAAGGACGCACCGCTACGTACCATATGGTAAGAACGGCGTAAACAAGTCGGGACACCCCAAGAGTGGGGTAGACAAGCAGGCAGGAAACACATAGGGACAGTGCGAGAGAGAAGGAAAATGAGAGGATTTGTGTGATGACAAGGGAGAATCGCGATACGGGCGCCGTGATTGTTTCACTCGGCTGCCGAGGGGAATGATTGCACTCATTTTCTGCTTGCCTATGTGTTCATCTTACTTCGTACCATCGACCAACCATTGGAGACTCTATTCTTCAACAACTTTACCCTTACGGCATCGACCCTCGGAGATGTTCGAGGCACAGTAAAACTCAGCATTGGCGATGGGGAGCTTGCCTTTGGCCCAATCCAGTGCCAGAACAACGCGATCAAAGCGACGCATAGATTATCTGAGGCTCACTGTAAGGTAGAGCGGGTGAGAGGAAGTCAACCATCGAACCTAATAGGCGGAAGACTTTGGCGATCTACACCGGATCGATTAGCGCTATGTAGATGATGTTCAAAGCTCAAAATCGCACCCCAGACGTCTTTAAACCGGGTCCATGAACATATTCAAATGGCGAACCAAAGAGTGTTTCCCGCCAACCACTTGAAGAATCTCGCCGAAGTCTTAAGAAATGAAGGGAGGAGAAAAGAAAGACGGAGTCTTCGCCACCGCGAGTAAGTGGTATCTAGAGGTGCCTTTCCTAGCCGAGAAATCGCAATCGACGCAACAATAACATGTTGCAATGCCAAGAAAAATATGCAGGGAGAAACCCAAATTTGTCGTACGAAAAGCGCTCCCTGCTTCTCCTTGCCAAACAACGTATGCAACTGTTTTTTGTATTTTGTTGTTGCATTCGCTTCGCCTTTTAAACCTCACAGGCCGCAAGGGAATTGGCCGAAAAGAAGTCGGCGGCAGCCAAGCGAGAAGAGGAGCGCCGAGCCCAGGCAGCCGAGGAAGCAAAGCGGTGAGAAAGGCAGGCCATTTCAAGCAGAAAACTCAAAAAAGGTTGCTCGAAAAGGCGTGTGTCTACGTACATGCCAGTGACGATCATTTCTCACCATACTTTAGAGTACACTGGTGTCGACGTCGTTTGTTGGAGGGAGAGGGCAAAAGCTTCGTCCAGAACACTATGGACAGAACGAGGGGGCGCGCGCAATAGAATACTGTGACTTGGCCATCCCAAGAGAATCAACGCGTAGTTACGTTGGAATGACGGTTACGTAGAAAACCTCTGCAGAACGTCCGACCCGAGGTTCCTGGCCCACCACGAGTGAGCGCCTTCGAATTCGGCCGCAAAACCTTTCCGGGTCACAACCACGTGGAGAACCGCTCAACACAACCACAGCGAGGTGTAGATAAGAACTCTTTCGGAGGATGACCGGCAAAGCTCAATTGCTATATGCCAAGTGGGTGGCAACGCCGAACGCACGTATTCGGAAATATCGTATCTTAAGATTGTTCTTATAAACGTCGCACTTTGCGGCATCGGCACGTTTCCTCAAGCGGAGCAGTAGAGATTTGAAAAGCGGCCTGAGATGGTCTGACAAAGTACGAAATTCTCGTCCCGCGTGAAATCTTCTGGGAATCATTGCCTCTGCGTTAATGGCGTATTCCACGAGAAAATGGTACGTTCCGGCAGTTTTCATTCTAAACTCGCCGTCGCCGCTCTCCGTCGTCTCCTGAACGATCGGAACCGATAGGCTTGCGGCCGAGGCCTCGTTTGAGAGGGAGAGAGCAAACTGGTTGGAGCGGGCGAAACGGAAACCCAGAGCTGAGGAAAAAGCGAAGAGACGGAAGGTGAGGCGCACCCCGATGCTGCTTTTGCATCAGGCCTTGGGTAGTTGTCTTGTGGCCCCGGGAATTGATTCGCTTGTCGACCTCGGATGGATACATCGAAGAAGTAATCGGCAGCGACCATATTGATTGAAGTAAGTATCACCCGCACAACAGTAGCAAAAACAGCAGATGAAGCAGGGATAGGTTACATCGAGGGTTTCTGTTTTCAACCACACACCCAACTCCAAACATTTCTGAAACCCAAGCTAGAACTGTTCGTTTCCGCGACACACGCACGAAAGTACATCCCAACCGCGAAAAATCAAGACTGGACGAGAAAGGTGGGATTCGGAGGAAGAAAGTCTGTATGCGGGTGTTTTGTGCGTGTGCAAGATGAAACGAGTCACCTCGCTGTTTCCTGACGTACCGCACACGAAGAGATCGAACCAACGAGTTGTCCGTGCAAACAGTTGTGAAGGCCCGTAATAAACGAGACAAGAGGCGGAAGTTGAAGGCTTGTAGGTCGAACAATCCACAAGTATCCCAAGGTGACGGTCTTGAAAGAGACGAGCTTCGCGTCGGACAAAGCTAAGAGAATGTGTACGTCTAGCTGCTTCTACGTTGGGTGATGCATGACCTCCTCCAGTGTTGGCAAAGTCCTCTTGGAGTCAGGATTGAAGGGAGGAATGCGCCGCATACAGAAAGGATGTTTTGTGATCCCAGGATCATAGATATTCTGCGACGAGGTTGAAACCGTAGGGTAGATAAATTATATGAGCCACAACAAAAAATTCTACGAGGTCCGAATCGACTTGGTGCCTCCCGGCATGGCCTTCGTTCTCCTTTTACCTCCCAACCAAGGAATCGAACCCGATATCAATAACAGCAAAAGCTATTTTCAATATGCACACTCTCTGCGCCATTCGCCCCGCCCACCGTATCCTGCGATTCTGCCACCCAAACGTGACTCATGGAACAAAGGATGGGCGGGGGCGGGGGGCGGAGGGATCGCAAGATATGTCGGCAACAGCCCCCGTGCACCACCGGACCAAGAAGCACGCCGCCCCCGACAGGACGCGCCCCGCGCTAGCCTCAATGACAACGACCACCACCATCAACACTAACCACCACCGAGGCGGTGGCAGGAAACGTCAAAGATGGGCCGCGTGCCCCCCCGCGGGGGGCGGCAGCGGCAACCACCAGCCTGGCGGTGTGACCGGCGGCGAGAGTGCTATCAGCAGCAGCTGCTCAACTCTGCCACGGGTTGATCGGTCGGTGAGAGTAGCGGCCGGCGTTCGAGACGGCCGGCGAAAAGTGGCGCCGCACGGCGCTACCGTGCCGGCCCTCCCGGTCGTCCCCGGGTACAAGGCCATGGCGGCCGGGGGGACAGGCTGCGTGGAAAAGAGGAAGAGGCCTCGGCGACGGCCGCCAAAAGGAAACGCTGCCGCCCAGGGAGGAAGGGGCAGGGTAAAGTTAGACGGTGGTGCAACAACTTGCGCAACGGACGTGTATGACGAGATCTTGAATACTAGAAATGGCACTGCCGATCCGTTGCCGACGTCTGGGGGCGACGGAGCCGGAATGGTCCTGAGGAACTCGGGCGGGGAGGTGGGCTTTGGCCTGAGAAATAGCGTTCTGCAAGAGTCAGTGGCGAACATCCTACCGGGGGGTCCGCGGGAGCAGCACCAACGTGAGGTGGAGGAAGAAGACGAGGAGGAAGCAGAGGTGGGCCGTGGGAGCGGGCATCGGAGTTCCTGCCTCGCTGAAGATGAATGCCTCTCAACGGAAACCTTGGACTCGGTCTTTGCCGTACCGGAGAGCGGGGTTGGAAGCGGCGGAGGAGGGGGAGAGGCCAATGCGCCCGAGGGACTGGGAGGCTTGTCGCCGGGGTGGAGCAGTCGCAGCAGTCGGCGAAGCAGCGAGGAGGGCGACACCTCGAGCGGATTCTTGAGCGACTCGGCGGCGATCCGCGAAGGGAAGGCCTTGCTGTCCGACGGACCAGTCGGCGGCTGGGGCAAGGCACGCACGGAGGGCGGGGTCACGAGTGCCGCGGCAACGGCGGCAGCTGTTGAGACTGTAGTCGGGGGTATCATCACGGAAGCTAGAGAAAGGCACGCTGCAAGTTTCTCGCCTGGTGAGGTCGGAGCAGGGCAGGCCGGTCCTAAACAACATACGATCAAGACAACGTCGCCGGCCGCATTGCCAGATAACGTTTCCGATGTGACCGACAACCAGATGCCCATCGACCAGCGGCAGCAGGAACAGGAACAGCAACAAATCGTAGAGGATGAGCTCACCGCGCAGTCGCCTACATCCTCGTTATCTTCTGTGGGTAATGGCGAATACGACGTGGCCGAGACAGAAACGGAGATAGGCGTCGAATCAGCTGACCTCCTGGAAGGTGGACGGCTGTACACAGCTGATGATGACGAACACAAAGATGTCGGAGGCAGCGGCCTTGGCTCCTTCGAGTCCCAATGAGATTACCGCCCCCAGCCCTTGAAGCGCTTGCCGGTTGCCAGGCGTGCAAGCCTATGTTTCCGCCGAACGGGAGGACTTTCAGTACTCGTCACGAGACCGCCCCTCGACAGCGAAAGCCGGTAGGACCTACTTAGCCACGATGATTGGCTTCGGTCTGTGGGTCTTGTCGTGAAAGGGGGTGCGGGCGGCACAGGAACTCGTGCGATGGCGACCGGGAGGAGAAATTGACGAGAGACAGAGAGAGGAAGAGAGAGAAAGAGAGATAGAAAAAAGAGGGCCACCATTGATAACGTTGGTGAGATGACCCAGGAGCCTCAAACACGGGTGTAATCAACCGGCCAACTAGATCCGGTCAACTGGCATCTCCGACGCTACATCTGCACTACTAGTAGTGCAGGCGTAATTCCCCGGGAGAACAAGAGCAGCCATCAAATACTGTCGGTCCCTCCGGTCTCGACTTGTGGGGCATGTTAGGAACCCCACTCGACGGCATATGTCCAGCACATATATTCTCTACGATACCAGCAACCCCACAAAAGGAATGTAATTCATTCTGACGTGGTCTTTCTTCGAGCTCGTTCGGCTCCACCAGGGAATGAATGAGGCGTCGCAGGAATACGGGAAATAACTTTCATCAACCCAAAAAGGTGAACGTTGACAAACTGTGTCCGCGGTTCGAAATCATTACAGAACCACAGCGGTAAGCAGGGGTGGGTGCAAACGTAGGCACGCCAATTGTGCACTGCTGTACTGCAGTAAGAAAGAACATGATTCAAGCAGCCGTCACTCGCAAGCAATTCGCGCTGCGATCGGCCCATGATGTTGATTGGCCCCAAGCCTAGTGCTGCTGGATGAGCACGGCTGTCCCGGTTGACAAAAGTGAAGAGATGCTAAAGTCGTAGAAACGAGTCACGGAAGAGAGTGGGCACCAGGGTTCATCACAAACACCGAGGTACACGAGCAACAAGGCACAAGAAATTCTCCGCAGTAAAGACGCATTCGGAACTTGGAACACATCAGCGGAACACTTGACAACTTGCACTTGACAACTTGCCAAAGATATGACCGGAGATATCCCGAAGATCCAAGACCGATGAACGGCTGTGTACTTGTGCAATCGCATAGCTCAAAACCACGCGTGAGTACTACCGCAGTAGCCTTCGTAAGGATGGCATAATCCACCTCACGAACACATGACCATGAACTGTAGAACCAAAACCAGATGCAGAGAAAATGATTACCCTAGGGTCCATCGATCCGACCACCCCTCTTCTGCTCCTGTTGTTGAGGCCATATTATTTGAGACCACCACCACAACGACCTATTAGTCCCCACACACGTAGTTTGGGCCTGCAGTAAGGAGGGGGATGTCTGGTTTGTATGCTACATGGAATGACAGATCGCCGCGGATCGCGGATGAACGCGGAGGAAAATGTACCCGTCGGATCATGGATCGTGGATCGTGGACTGCTTCGGACCGTTACAACACGGCCACGTCTTCAACGCACACCCGCTCGCCAATGGGCTACCACGTAGATGCAGATGAACACGTGTCCTGCGGCGAGGTGGATGTGGTAAGGTACCGTAAGATTGATTGTGGTTTTGATTTTGGTGGCGGGGTGGGGGGGTTGGATAACCCCCCCAGGTGTTTCTTTTTAGTTTGGGGAAAGAATGAGAGAAGACTGAAACACTTTGCGCCAGCCAAACTCCCAATCAATCAAGACCACCGCTGGAAGAGACAAATCTGTGAGACTGAAACACTTTGTGCCAGCCAAACAATTCCAGGGTCTGCTGTTATCCACGGTGCTCACCTTTGTTTCTATACCCTATCGCCCGAAACTCACCAATTTGGTCTGCGCCAACACAACAAAACTGGCCAACTTGCTGTGCGGGACCACCGATTGAGGTTGACTGCCGTGCCAACGGTCGTGCCAACGAATGGTGTACGACCTTACCATGTACAACGGCGTGCAGCAATCACCCAGGCTGTGGTGTGCCGAGCATCAGCAGTCCAAACGGTCCTGTTGTGCAATACATGCCTTGGTATGCTACATGTATGTATGTCCGCCTGCACCATGGTCCGCTTGTCGGTTGTAGAATGACACGTTTACCCGTCGGATCCATCCGTGGATCCGTCCACCCGTCTACTTCTGCTGTTCCTGAGGGCATGCTGTTCGAGACCGCCACCACACTGGCATGTCTTCAGAGCACACTCGCTGGCCAAGCGACCACACACCACACACGTAGCTTGGGCTTGCGGTGAGGTAGATACAGGGTGGTGGACGGTGGAATGAAAGATCGCCGCGGAAGAACGCGGCGGAACATTCAGCATTTACCCGTCGTCGGATCATGGATCGTGCCGAACGTGTTTCATGATGTCGGCACAGACTACTTCTTGGGACCGCTATAGCACCGCCATGTCTTCAGAGCACACTCGCTGGCCAAGCGAAGTTTGGGTCTGCGGTGAGGTGGATATCATGGTGGTGCACGGTGGAATGAAAGATCGCCGCGGATCGCGGACGAACGCGGCGGAACATTCAGCATTTACCCGTCGTCGGATCATGGATCGTGCCGAACGTGTTTCATGATGTCGGCACAGACTACTTCTTGGGACCGCTATAGCACCGCCATGTCTTCAGAGCACACTCGCTGGCCAAGCGAAGTTTGGGTCTGCGGTGAGGTGGATATCATGGTGGTGCACGGTGGAATGAAAGATCGCCGCGGATCGCGGATGAACGCGGAGGAACATTCAGCATTTACCCATCGTCGGATCATGGATCGTGCCGAACGTTTTTCATGCTGTCGGCACAGACTACTGCTTGGGACCGCTATAGCAACGCCATGCCTTCAGAGCACACTCGCTGGCCAAGCGAAGTTTGGGTCTGCGGTGAGGTGGATATCATGGTGGTGCACGGTGGAATGAAAGATCGCCGCGGATCGCGGATGAACGCGGAGGAACATTCAGCATTTACCCGTCGTCGGATCATGGATTGTGCCGAACGTTTTTCATGCTGTCGGCACAGGCTACTGCTTGGGACCGTTACAACACGGCCACGTCTTCAACGCACATCCGCTCACCAATTGGCCTATCACGTATGTACGGTATGTGCATGAACACGTGTCCTGCGGCGACCACCTTCGTTTCTATACCCTATTGTCCGGAACTCACCAAGTTTGGTCTCTGCGCCAACACAACAAAACTGACCAGCGTGCTGTGCTGTGAGGGACCACCGACCGAGGTTGATTGCTGTCGACCTAACGGTGTTCGACCTACGCTAAATGGCTCAATTGTATCAGAGCGTGCAGCAAACACGCAAGCTGTGGTGTGCCCGAGCTTGAGCATGGCGAAGCTACTACCCCGTTGTCCGATACATGCCTTGGTATGCTATGTATGTCCGCCTGCGCCATGGTCCCCTGGTCGGCTGTAGAATGGATCGGGTTGGACCCCGAGGTCTATTTACAGTGACTTTTTAGGTCTAACCCGACGTTTGAACCCACCCTCCTAGGCTCCACCGACGGATGTGTCACACACCGTGGCCGACCCAACACAACCCAATCCAACTCAATTTAACCCTAGCGCTCACGCACGGCCAAATGCCGGCGTAGCGGCCGCGAACTGGCCGAGAACGCGGCCACATCGCTTTGTCGGAACGCGGAGTAGAGAGGGCGCTGGAGAGATATGGACCACCGAACCAACGGTTTACCCATCAGAGGGCGTAAAAGTCCGAATAGAGATAGCAGACCGAAAAAAAACTACGACGCGGATGAAAATACATTTACCCTCGACCCGTCTTTTGCTGTTGAGGGCATATCGTCTCAGTCGGTGCCACCACACTGGCATGTCTGGAGAGTATACTGATCGGCCGGCAAAGTGACCGCACATACCTACGTGCAACTGCGGTGAGGTGGATAAACAGGATCTGCAAAGATACGCAATACAACGTACTAGTCGTTTTTGTTGGTTTGGGAATGTGTGGGGTGTGTGCTTTGGGGAAAGAATGATACACGAACAAATCTGTGGGACGAAAACACTTTTCGAGTGTAGCACGCCCTCGTTCCAACACGATTATTGCGAAGTGACAACCTCGCTGGTTCGGAACCTCTGCGAATGATGAAGTACCAACTCTTCTTCCGAAACACATTCACTCGAGAAACTTTCCACGTAAATGTGAAGGGATCTACAGTCAGCAGTTTTAAGTCGCAGCCAAACAAAACTCCGTTGACGAGGAAGAGGGCAAACTTCACATTTCAAGCACACGACACACACGACAGCTGGTGTGCGTCAAACCCATACCGAACGATATCTAGACTAGCGTCCAGGAAAATGGGACGAGAGCAAAAAAAGTGAAGTCTAGCGAACCATCTTCACTGGTTCCACCATTCATTCCATTTCAGATCAACTCACAAAATTTCTGGCATGACGTAATACTCTGCTCTCAACCCACCATTATCTCAAAAGCGAAGAACTGAACCCGTACCCCTGTGTAAGCGGTTGCAGTCGCATCACGCTCTAGTTCACAATTTCAAAGTGATTTATCTCAACACTTGATGATCTCGTTGTATAGAGGGTTTCGCCAATGAAACGGGCTTCTCCCATGAGTTTCTCATCTTCGAATCGCACGGTTCTTCCCCAGTCAGGAACGACGTTCGGGTCTGCAGGAAGGCATCAAAACTGTTGTTTACATGACGAGAGAAAGAGTACCCCTACCTAGGCTATCGACCCAAAACAGCAAACCAACCGCAATACGAAGCATGACGCACACACCCCTTTCCCACTCTTTTTTTCTCCTGGTCGTACTCCAGCCGAATGACCACAAGTACAACCTCCGCTTTTTGCGACCTGCTGGAATTATAGACCTCCGCGACCCGTTGCAATAATAGAAGATACGTGTTAGGCGAGGGAGGGCGGTGTCAAGCGAGGCCTGGCCATCCCTCAATCACATGGCCTTCGCCAAAAAAAAACAACGAATTATCGCCTGCATTTGCTCCTAGAGAGGTAGCTTTCGTCGTGGCAGCACGGACCCCTTCGAAGAGCAGCGCGCCGCAGTACTTGACAATTCAGATCACGCTAATCCTTCTCTACCCACTTCTACAAAAACTAACTGCATCGTACAAGGACAACAATACGTCAAGCATCATGCGCGCCTTTCTTACCGCTTAGGATTACACCGGCGACGTGCAGCAACAACTGATGTTCTTCTACCAATACTCTAAAAAGCCCCCAACCACACACAACCACATTCGTGAATACGCAACGATGTAGGACAAGCGCAGGTTGCGTCGACAAGTGCATCGATAACCACCCGCAACGTCCGGATGGCGACAGAGGTGACGTCACATCGTACAACACGGGGGCAAGTAGAAAACCACACACCCATGATAGAATGGGTGTCCCCAGTCTTCTGATTGGTCCATTTTTGTGAAACGACATTTTTTCGTTGGAAACTCCCTTGGTCAACTGGTGACGCCATCAAGAGTGGTCACGCCACCTCTTGAAAAAATTCAACCAAATGAAATGGCGGTGGTTTGATCCTGGTGTCAGTCATGAACTAACTCGGTATTGTAGTCTGGAAAGCCCCGATAACTGACGACGTCTTCCGTAGCGGTGAAAATAGTGCCGTTGTCGGCGTAGTTTGTTTGCCGGCACACGTCTCCATCTTTCCTAACATCTCCGCCACCTCCATCTTTCACTCTCATCTGCGTGGCTCACTACTCTCCGACTGTCCTCATCACCGCCTGGAGAACCGGCTAGCCGTCTCGTTGGCCCGCCCTCGGCCTCGGTTGCTTAAACTTGGGGAGCTTGTTCCGCCTGGCAGCATCGTGAGTGAACGCCATGTGCCGCCTCTGCGACTCGCTCCACCCGCCGCCGCCGGTACTGCCGCCGCCGTGCTCCGGCGACTTCTTCTCTACCCGCCACTCGAGGTCGGTGCTACCGCCGCCCTGCTTCTTCTTGGGTATCCAATACGCGTCCCGCTCGGGCGTCTTCTTCGGTATCACGTACCCGTTGGCGGCGCTGCTACGGCCGCCTTGCCCCACGTTAAGCTTCGGCTTCTTCTGTACCGTCATGTACTCCTGCCGCCCTGTGGTCGCCTCCCCTGATGACGCGGCTGGGAGAGCGGGAGGTCTGTTCTTGCGCTTGTTCGTTTCCCTGGACTCGGCGCCGCCATCGACGTTATTGCTGCTGCCGCCACCGCCCCTGCTCGGGAAGGTTTGAATGGGGGCGGGGGCCTGCCGGTTGCGGTCACCACCCCCCTTCCCACCGTCGCCGCCGCTCCTCTTTTTTGACGGTCCAACAGCGCCCTCCTGTGCCTCTGCCTCTCGCCCCTTTTCCCTTTTCTCTTTGATCTTCTGGCCCACCCTCTCGACTTCCTTTTCCGGGCGTCTCTCGCTGCTGGAATCGTTCGCGTGCCCCCCCCTTCCTGATGCTGCTGCTGCTGCTGTTGGAGCTGCCTTGGACACCCTTTGTCCCCGTTCCTTTCCTTCACCTTCAGCTTCCTCCGAAACATCCACAACCTCTTGCTTGTTCTCCCTGCCCTTCGTCGTTGCCTCCTGCTTTTTGATCTCTTGTTGGTTCTCCGGTCTTGCCCTCATTTTCTCCTTGGCCTTGACGATCGAGGCTTCCGTAACGTCCTCAACCTCTGGCTTGTCGTCCGTGCCCTTCTCCTGCTTCTTCTTGACATTTTGTTCCTTCCCCGGTTCAGCCTGCACCTTCGGCTTCGTTTTCTTCTTGCCCTTGGAGATCGACGCTTCCGTGACATCCTCAACCTCTTGCTCATCGTCCGTGCCCTTCTCCTGCTTCTTCTTCACCTGTTGTTCACTCTCCGGTTCTGCCCGTGCCTTTGGCTTCATCTTGGCCTCGGCAATCGACGCTTCCGAAACATCCTCAACCTCTTGCTCATCGTCCGTGCCCTTTGTCTCCTGCTCGTTCTCCGGCTCTACCCGCACCTTTGGTTTCGTCCTTTTCTTGGACTTGGCGATCGACGCTGCGATCGCGTGACCAGCATCCTCTTCCCCCAGCGGCGACTCCTTTCGCCCCACGGAGCGAGCACCACCACCACTGCCGCATGCAACGCTGGCAGCACCTCCTCCGCCATTCGCAGCTGCCGCCGTTGTCGAGCTCTGCGCCTTCTTCGCTGCTGCCTTGCTCCTTTTCCGGCTCCTTCCAGTGGCGTCATCGTCAGCGTCGCTGCTGTCGCCGCCGCCGCCGCTGCTCTCGCAGCTGCGGCGCTTTGGTGCATTGCGCTACAAGGGTCGCGAGGGAAAAAAGCAATGGAGGTGGTGGGGCCCGAAGAAAAAGACAAAGGTCATGACATCAGCTAACAGGCCAAACGGACGAAAGCAGCAACACATGACAGCAGGTAAGCATGCCTGAACTACGACAGAAGGGTCGAGAGCTGGCACTATTAAAGTGCGATCGTTCTTGAAGCCATTGTGTTGTTGGACTCTCCAACTCACACAGAAATAATTCGTTCCCGCCACAAGCTATCGTTGGTCAGAAGAAACAACCAGTCGACAACCAACCATCGAGGTTCATCCTAACACGATGGTCGACCTACGATCTCGCTTTCCTACACCGCTAAAGAGCACACTCTGTAGTCGTCCAACGAGGTACCGGAGTCTCACATCATGACCCGCAAACACACGCCCCCAAACACACGCCTGATGCACCCAACCGATCCACACCAACCAAGAAAAAACAAACAGCAACAGCAAGCAACACAAACGCCGCGCACCAGCTGATCCCCGGCGCCGTAAGCGGTGATGCTCTTCCGGAACCCATCCACCAGGGTCTCCATCCGTTCGTGCCTGCGCTGGTCGACGCCCTCCAACTTCCCCCTCTTGAGTTTGTAGTGGTGAACCTCTGCTCCGCGGTAGTCTTGGAATGGGTCGAAAAAGTTGCGACCGGAAGAAGACAAAAAAACATGGGGGAAAGGTTGCAAAGGAGTGGGGGGAAGCCGGGGGAGACTAAAGGTAGTGGGCGTGGGTCCGGGTGATCAAGGTAGAGCGCAGCAGCACTGGGTATAACGTCTTGAGTAGAGCAGGCCACGCTTGAGTCGGTCAACCCAGGCTTGTCTGTTGGTGGTGGTCATCGTCGTGCTACAGTACTGTGATTTGTTGTTGCTGCTGTTTCCATCTCGATATCCGCTAGTTCCGCGCCAAGCTACGAGAGGATGGTGAAGAAAAAGATGAAGTCAAAGGCACGAGAACCTCCCGCAGAAAAACTAAACTGCATCCACCAAATTTCATCACGCGATTCGAGAGAGGTGAACTGACGCACGAAGCTTCTCTTCGGCAACCCAGAAGGAGAGAGGAGGAATGAACCATCGGATCTACTTCCGCGTCTTGGTCACACCATATAACACCACGGGTACGTGTTTGTAGTCATGAACGCACGTTCAAACATGATACTTTGATAAGAGTATCGCTCACCCAACTGCATCTCTCCGGTGTCCTCGTCTTTGATGTATCTCTGGATGACCCAATCGTTCAATACCCTTGGGGTTCCGCAAACGATGGGTTAAAATGCGGAATACATGGGGGCGGGGGGGAGGGGTCAGTACAGAATGTGGTGGAGATACTGCATAGTGGTGATGGTGAGAGCACGGTCAACCACCTCATCAACAACAGCAACTAAAACAACATACTAGCATCTAACCCTCTTACACTTGATGGTTGTCCAGCACGAGTAGCTCGACGTTCGCTTCCTTGGCCGCCTTCTTGCCCCGAATCTCCAAGATCGTCGCTTCCCGTCTGGACGAAGCCAACCCAACAATTTTCGTCTGACAACCCGAGCAAAACAAACCAAACACGCCAAGGGAGGGGGCGGGGAGCGCGGGGGGGTTCGTCATACAAGGGAGAGAAATCCACAGAGGGGGGGGGGGTCCCATATTCCAGAGAAAAACCCACATCAATACGAGATTTGTGAATGAGCGGTGATGTTGCCTGCACATGAGGAGACATGGGAAGCAGAGGGGGGGTGCCTGCAACAAATAACGGCAACGGTGTCTGAAACAAATATTTTTTTCAGAGGTGTTCATCGACGACGGCGCTCCTACTACGTTCATTGCAAGTAGGACCCAAAAATAGTAGTGTACTCAGGTTTTGTGGACACGCGCCCTCGCGCCCGTCCCCGACTACGTGATGCGTCTGGCGAAAATGCCGCTCTTCGGGTGAGGCTGTGCCGCGATATTTTCTTCCAACTTTACCGCTTGCCCACGCCGCCGCGGCCCTGCCGCCCTCGTCATGGTGCTTTCGTTTCCACGTGTGCGCTATTGTGAGGTCGTGGGGCTTTCGAATCCTTGGGGGGAATGCCACAGGAGATTTTGCGTATGCGCGAAGAACGTGGCCACCACAGGCAACAACACGGCCGCAAAATTTTGCCGCCGTCCAGACGTGAGAAACCCGGTTTCGCCCGAAACAAATGGTATGGCACGACGGTGGTGGTGGTGGTGGTACGGATGTCCACACTCACCCTGTCCCAGTAGAAGATTCTGTCGCCAGGTGCAAGGGGGAGGCCCCTCTCCATTTGGACCGATTTGCTGGAGTACTTAGGGATGTCGTCGTCGGCGCCCTAAAGAAAAGGTCATCAGCAAAAAAAAGACGCTTCACGACGACATAAGCGGCACAAAACAAGGACCATATCGATTTGGCCAACAAAAGGGTAACAATTGACAGATACCGTGCGGGCGGGGGGCGGGGTTGAACCAGGGGGCTGGAGGTCGGGAAAGACAGCAAAACTTAACCAAAGCGTTACTGGAGTACAACAAGGCAAGGGGCGTCACACACGCATAAGTACAACAAGGCATCGCCTATTTACAAGTACAACAAAGCAGAGGCGCCGCATAAGTGCAACAAGGCAGAGGCATCGCACATGAATAAGTACAACAAGGCAGCATATGTCGGAAGTGCAGCAAGGCATACGCGGCATATGCCTTGTCGCTCGCTTCGCTGCTGCTGCGCACCTCGCCCCCGTCTTCGCCAGCGGAGCTCTCTCCCTCCTCCTCCTCCTCCAACTCCCTCTGCTGTCTCCGCAGCTCTAGCTCCTGCTCCGCCCTGCGGCTCTCCTCCTCGTCCTCCTGGACTTTCTTGGCCTTGAGCTCCAACGCTCGGCTCAGGAACTGTTAAGAAGAGAAGATTATCGGGTCGAGCCGCCCAGTGGCAACAAGAAGAACCGTCCAGTGTGAAGACGAGGAACCTCTTCAAAGGAGCGGGTACGACTTGAAGACCATTCCGATTGAAAGTTAAGCCCAAGTCGGTGGGTCAAGGGAACTATTCTGGCCTCGGTCCGCAGAAACACGGAAAAGACGACAGGCGTGGTCAGAAGCTCAGCTTTTGCCCCCCGCCAATAAATGGCCGGGTCCTACTTGCGGTCAAGAGAGAGAAAACACAGGGCGCGGTCTCTTGGTGAGTTCCACGGACTTGCGTGTCAAAAAGCAGTCGAGACGCACAGCCAGATAATATTGCACCGGATACCATGCCTTCTCTGCCACACCATCAGATTGGATGTCTAAACAGGTAAAATAACGTACACAGGTCGTTCGAGAAAAAAAAAATCCGCCCATCGTGCTCTTTGCTGTTTCAAGCCGATTCACACGTTGGGACGCGTCTTGCTTGCCCATAGTACACCCAAAGGTATGCAACAAGGCACCAAGTTGCTTCCCGCAATCCCCTCTCTACCTTCTGCGCGTGCTCCAGCGTAACGTCCCAGTTCTGCTTGGAAAGCTGCTTGCTCTTGCCCTTGGCTTTCCGGAAGTGGTAATCGGCGTCTGCCCAAGAGTCCTCGGGGCCAAGCGCGCGGTCCTGGCCGGCCTTCTTGCCGGCCATCACCGTGTTGTAGGGGAGCACGCTCTCGACGGGCTTGCCGCGAACGCACGCGTACGGCGTCTCCGGCTTGGCGTGGCACGTCAGGCAGAGTGGCAAGAACTGCAGGATGACGAAGCCTGGGGGGGGGGGGGGTGCGGCGGCAGAAGGAGATAGGGACACAGGGAGAAACAGAAAAACAAGAAAATAATGTTGAATGGGGGGGGGGGGGGGGGGGGGGGGGGTCTCCCCAT